TCCAGAGTCTTTAACAAGATCTACCTGCTGAAAACCTGAGCCTCCAAACAGGCTGTTCCACTTTAAAGAGCATTTAAATGCTTACAGTGATAGGAGAAGATTTAATTTATCCAGAAGCTTCATTCACATCAGTGGAGCTTCCTTCATCTGGGGACAACAGGTAGGAAACCATTCACAATCTCTTAAAGAAAGTAATGCTCCTAAGTAACAACACATAGATTGTTGTAATATAATGTAAAACATCTATATACTGAGAGAGAACAGAAAACATTTGTTTTAAAAAATGTTTAAAGATGGTTTTTTTGGCTCTATTGCAAAATCAATAGCTGGTGACTTATTTTCAGTTGTAAACAACAACAACAAAAAAAAAAAGAGCAAGAACAGAAATGTCTCTGCCACATATACAAAATGCCCATTTAGCTTGTTTTCCTTTTTATCTAGGTATACTTTTTTATCACTGATGTTCCAAAAAGATTTAAGTACCAATTAGTGTAATTTTTACCTCATATCCCATGAACAGGATAGGAATTTCCCTCATTAACTACCAAAGCACTAAATAATGGAGAGGAAGAGTACATTCTGTACTTCAGCTAACTGAAAATTCTTTTAAACCACACAGACCTGCACTGCCTATAGTGGCATTTGTAAGTCTACAGTGCACACCAGTGGACTATAGTAGTACATGCACTTTTCCACTTTTTTCAGGATAGTTTTGTAAATATCCCATCTTATTTAACTCTTAAATGACCAGAAAAGCACATCATTCAGGATTTATAAGGATGGATCTAAAATTTTGAGGAAGATTTGCAATGAGTATAAACAAGAATGATTAATTGTACATAAGATAAAATGATCATTCTAAAACCTAAAACTTCAACAGGCTTGCTCATTCCAATTCTCTGTTTGCAAACATCACAGCAACACACCAAGGATTTGCTTTGTTTTCCAGAGGCCAAAGACCTAACTAATCAAACTCAGACATACTTTTTGTGTTTCTCAGACTGATGGTTAATTGAGCTATAAACTAAACTGTATCTGAAAAAAATTGCATACTCCATTCCTGGGGACATTCAACAAGCAAATTTATGCATGTAAAAATTTTCATGTTCTTCCTCCTCTTTACAACAAAATTTACTTTAAACTCAAGTATAACTAATGTCAATACTCTTTATTTGCTCAACAGCTTTTCAAACAATTTTTGTCTTTCTGTAGATACTCACGCAAATACAACAATTAGTGTAATTTTATGCTGAGTAATTTCTTTCCTGTTTTTAAAATAACAAAGTGTTTTACATCTTTTAATAGATGAACAGAATTCTTAGAACAAAAAAAAAAGGAAATTATCAGTTACAACACCAAATGCAACTTTCTGTTGTACCTGTTAAAATGGTCTAATTTACAACCCCAAGCAAGTCACGATCAATGCTAGTGTTGCACAAAGCTGCCTATAATGCTCATGGTTACTATGATCATAGATTGTCAATTTACTACTTTTTTTAATTAACTCAATATATTGAAAACTTATTTGCAACTTCCAAATTGATGCTGAATGGATAATATGTTAAAACAACGATCATCAAGATCACCAAGGCTTTCCATATTTAGTTTGTTTCAGGATGAGTAAATACTTGTCTTCTAATGAAAGTAACTGAAGAAAGTGATTAGTTACTGGGACCACTAATAATCAAGTCTTTATAGCTGTGAAGTTTCTAACATTCCCCAAAATCTCTCCAACTTCGAAAAGGCTAAAAGAGCTATCCACTCCTAAAAATGGTTTCATTCGCAGTGGCACTGTCACTTGCAAACCAAGCACTTTGTTTTCACATTCACAGTGGGACTGTTAGGAAATCTACCAAAGGAAATAGCAGATTAATTTAGTCAAGGACATGAAAATAATCCAGATGTAATAATTGATCTGCTTTTAATCTAGAAATTCCTTTGTGATTTAATATTGGAAATTTATATTGGAATCAGATTCCATACTTAGCCTAGTAGATATCTGCACTTTATTCCACTTTCAAATTTTTCACTGTCAAAATTCTTGTCTGTTGTTCCAGCATCCATTTCTCAACAGTAATATATAGTGAGTAATATTTTCATCTGTGTTGACAACACACAAGGTTTGGTTTATTTCAGTAGAGTTTCCACTTACAGAAACCCCCTCCACTGATATAAATAATTTCTTTCAAATTAGTCAGATTCATCCAGATCAGTGTATTTTTCTGTAATTTAAAAATGAGATTTATGTCATAAATGTCAGAAGCTGAAAAGAATGCTCAAAATATTACCTCCTGTTAGCAATTAAAGCAATTGAGCATGTTCCCAAGAAAAAAGCAGCAACACATATATGTAGACATGCAAATGCATAAATACTGTTCTCTATCTCCAATGAATTCTCAGAAAAATTTTACTTCCTGTTGTTCTATTCCTGATGACAGTGCCGTAAAGCATTTAATGAAGATTAAATTTCTTAAACAAAACTATTAAATAAACCTAGAGTTCTTCTGTTTGGCACAAGTATAAAAGCTAAAATCCTACTTAATGAGCAAACAGAAAATAAAGAACTAAAATTTAAAGGAACTCAAATATGAAAGATAGATATTACTTTGTTGCTGCGTTGCATATGCATCACCTATTAACTGGAACTTGAGATTTAATAGACTGCTTGCAATTCTTTCCAGAAAATGAAAGAAAACTAATTAAATTCCTTCCATTATTCAAAATCTGAGATGTTAAATTCATAGGACAGTTTAAATTCACTATCTATGTTTAGCTATATAAACACACATCTTGAGTTTTGTTGGACCAAAGAGGTCCTCTATCCATTGTCCTGAAAGCTAAAACCTGGAAACTGCAATACAAATATTTCTTATTCTTCTAATCATGGACACAGATTGAAATGAACATGTATTTCCTAACACCAATTCAACACAACCAGGTAATGTTCTTAAATTACTCCTTCGAGGCTGATCTTTGTAAAAGTACATTGCTTTTTGGCATCAGACCTCCACCATGAGTGCCCTGCTGAGCTAAATCAGTCTCCTGGCACATCTACCTGTTCTCCTGAGTATTAGGACAAACCTTGGTTGTACTCCAAGGTCTGACAGGTTTGGTTGACTCCTTTGTTTTCCTATCAGAATTGCCTCCCTTGGGAGCCTTCCCAGCAGTTCCCTGACTAAGCCAATATCCTGCTTTCCTTATGTTCAGGGTCTGTACTCTGCTGCTCGCCTTTCTTCTTTCAGGGTGACTGACACCACTATTTCAAAGCTACCACAGAGGACGAAATTATTTATCATCACATACCCAGTTAGTTTCCTTCATATTAGTCAACAGCAGATCCAGCTATTCATCACCACTTGTTGGCCTTCAGCAAGAATTTATTCCTGAAACCTCACTGAAATCTCTGTGGTTGCACCAGCTATTGTAACTTTCTGGCAGCTGTAGTCACCCACGAGAACTGGGATTTACAACTCCAAGATCTGTGCTCTTTAAACACTTTTTTTTGTTTCCTCATTAGGTGGTCTGTAACAAACTCCTACCACAATGACACCCTCACTGGCCTGTCCTCTGATCCTAAATTCACAAGTCTGATTGTCCTCCATCCTTCTGGAGACCTCAAAAGAACTGAGCTGCTTTTAGATGTGAGGGCAGCTTCCATTCCCTCAGCCCTTCCTTGCCAGTGTTTCTAGAAGTCCTTCACAGTACTCCAGTTGCACGGACTTGGCACAGTATTTGAATCGTTCCAACAATATTGTAGTTCCGTAACCACATACAGACTAATTCTCCCTGCTTGTTTCCTAGGATGCGTGCATTTCCTTGCCAACATTTGAGATGTGTGTCCCTTCACATTGTTTTATCATTCCTGAAGTCTTTCATGCTCCTATCAACCTATACCCTGAGTTTTCCAGTGACCACCTCTTTATTTCACTGTGGTGTGTAATCTCTCATTGCTTCCTTTCCTAGTTTGGGTCTCCATGACCTCAACCCCAGAGCTTTGTGATCATTCCCAATATGCCCCCAGCTGGTGCCCATCAGGATGAGTAGTAGCATAGCGGCCTAAGGACCGGACAGACCTCAGCAACCTCTCTGCAATTTTCTGGATCCTAGCCCACAGCAAGCCACATAACACTTAAAAAGCAAGTGGGGAGCAAAGGGGTTTCTATCCTCACAGGAGCAAGCCTCCTACTACCCCCACTTGCTGCTTCTCCTGATGTTAATGTATGGTGTGTGTTAAAGCTGGCTCTGATGCCTCATAAGTTATCGCTTTCTTCACTTACTTCACTACCAGGTGTTTGAACCTTTTGAAGTGCAGATGTGGAAAAAGAGCCATCCTGCAGTAGCTGGAGAACATACCTTTCCAGCCCTCCTACTGTGGGACTCAATTCACTGTGAAACTCACAGCCTCTGACTGCCCCTCCCACGTGGTTCAGACTTTTTTATCTCTGGATCCCTGTGAAGATCCTGTTCATCTCCTCTTTGCCTTCTCTGATCCTGCCCAGCCTTACTTCCTTGTCCAGGTCGATGGGGACAACACATTTTTTCAGGCAATTTCTACACCTCTACTGCTGTATTTCTCCAGCCTCTCAGGAAGTGTGGCAGGGCTTTCCTGAGCATCCCCTTACCCCACATGGACCCTTTCTCTCAGAACACAAGCCCCACTAGACCCTGATCACACACTGCTGTACACCAGGACCACCAGGCTCACCACACATGGGAAGGGAGCACCACAACCTGCCTCCTCTGGCTGGTCCTTCCTGGAAGCCTGTGGAGACATCCTAATGCCACTCTCACAGCTCCCAAGCACCAGGGCTGCCATGGCAGAACCCACACACCCTCACCAGGTAACTCCCACCTGGCTATACAGAATACTTATTGATATATGGTGGATTTGTCACATTCATAAACCATGGAGACAATTTCACTCTTAGCTACAACACAGGAAATCAGAAGTCTAAATTTTCCTTCTTACTCCATGTGATAACAATGTACTGCTAACATACCTGTTTCGGGCTTTCCAGCTTGGTTTGTCTCAGTTCTTCATATTTCCATTTCCAAAGAAATAATTCGTTTTCCATCTTTTCCATTTCTTTCTCCAGAAATACATTCATTCTAAAAAAGTATTTTAAAATTTAACATTGTACAATTTTGAAGCTGACAGAACAAAAGTTACATTGAACTTCCTTCTCATAGCTTGAGCTATGCTGCTTTTGTCAATGTTATATCCTGACTTCTCTAAAAACCATTATCATTGCATAATTAGTCCAAAAGATTCATCAAAAATAATAGTTAAAGAGAAAACAGAAATCCAGTAGTACAGAATTGAAACTTTAAATGAAATAAAATTTTGAGATAAACTGAAGAAAATTTAACTTCAGTTAGTGGTTCAGGCCACCTAATTTATCACAAGTTTCTTCATATTAGTGAAGATCCTCAAAGAAAACATATTACATCACTTGCATTTAGTACAGACAGCAGATTAAACACATGTATACGGGAGAAATATACACTATAGAGACCAGAAACCAAAGATGATTGGTGTTTGATGTTAAAAAACATTATTAAAAGATGTATATGTCATGTTTCAAAAAATAATAGCTCCTGGAAAAAAATGCTAGAAGAATTTCAGGAAAATTTATTATTTAGTGTAGAAGTACTATGCCTGTACAATGAGAAAAATATGAAATAGTTGAAAAGAAATATCTAATACTTGGCAATTAAAGAAACTGTTGTGTGCCTCAGTAGCAATATTCTATTCTAATGGAAGCTAACAGAATTTTTCAACCTTTTTAACAAAGACATTATTGCTGGGCTTACTAGAATATATTTTGAGAATATTTGGTTTAAATATTCACATATTAAACCAAAGTGTATTGATGGAATTTGTCTGGAACTTTTCTATGCAGCAGACTGCAGGCTTATATAGAGATAAGAGTTGCCACTGACTGGGCTGACTCAGGTCCTGGAAGCAATGTCAGCTACTTTAATGAAGCAATCCACTATAGTGAAATATCTTCTTCTCTCTTCTTTTATACCTAAACTGAATGCTCTTGAATCAGGGATCTCCTTTTTCTGCCTAGATTTAGTATATAGCACTGCTTATCTTAGCACAGACCTAGAAATCCCATAACATTACAGTAATAAAAGAAACACCATTATTCACAAAGCAAAATGGAGCAATATGTATTTCATGCATTTCAACTCAACTGTTTTGCTTTCAAAGTAATGGGATATTTCATTGGAATGATATCATGACTTCACTGGGGAACTAAGAGAATTCTTAGTGGGACATTTAATATGGTAGAAAGTGAAAGCATGAAAGATGACATTCTAATACTTTGAATAATTGTCCATTGACTGCACTGAATGCAGTGAAAGTCCTCAGAAATGGTCTATTCTGAAAAGTAAAAGAGGAATGTACAATATGTTTCACTTATTTAGAAGACACTAGTTTTGTTTTGTGTTACAGTACTTAAGTGAGATCACTTTCCTCTGATGCCACTAATTGAAAGAAATTATTCTGATTACATAAAGTTTACTATTTAAATAAAGAAAACGAAGAGTGGAAGAAAGAATATAGCAGACATCAGAAGCAACTTACTTACTAGAATCAAGTTTAGAGCATTTTTCATGGATCTTGTAATGAGACATTTTAACTCATTATCTAATTAAATCACAGAATTACAGAAAATGGTTGAGGTTGAGAGTGACCTCAAGGAGGCCATCTGGTGCAAACCCCCTGCTCAAGCAGGGTTGTCTAGAACTGATTGCTCAGGACCATGTCCAGATGCCTTTTGAATGTCTCCAAGGACACAGACTCAGCAACCTTCCTGGAAACTGGAAACCAGTGCCAGTGTTCAGTGATCCTCGCAGGAAAAAAGAGGATTTTTTGTTGCTTAGTCAGAACCTTTTGTATCCATTGTCTGTGTTACCCAGCCAGTCTTAAGAAGTTCCTCTTTGATATTATCAACTAGCAGTCAACTAGTTTGTGAGTTTTTGGTTTTAGAAGAAATAAACACTTTTAAGTTCAAAACAGAACAAATTGCTATCTTAAAATTGGAAGACAATTAGATGAGAACAATGATCCAAAAGATGACAAAAGATAGCTATTTTAAGCAAATGATTATGCAAAATGCTGAGCCATTCATAAGGTTTGTAATTTCCATTCATGCTAATGGACCTCAAATGTGTAATTGATGTGAGCCATTAGTACCTAGTAGAGCATGTTGGTGTGTAATTTCACACTGTAAACCCAAGCCAAGATATTTTTTTGAATGTCAAAACATTAATTTTCATCCCCCTCACTTTTATTACTTCTTTTAGACATTCTTTCTTTTTGTCCTTTGCAAAGCCTGATCTGTGTGCATAAGGTTATGTCAACATTACTGATGATAGCTCTAAGCAGAATGCAAAAAGCAGAAGTGTTCTCAGGGTGAAAAAACAAAATATCTAATGGAGACAGTTAGGAAACCAAGAAGGTTACTAGTTAGGTAACTTAGAGGGAAGTTCAAACACTAGATTTGCATAAGCTAACTTGACTCTAGAAAAAAGCAGTCAGAGTTCAGTGTGCTGCATATAAACCAGGAAACTGCTGAGAAGTCCTCTGCTGTAGGAGTAAGATCACACTGACTGCTAAAGTAACCTCTGGCCTTGGGGTTCAAGCTGTCTATTATCTGTTTGCTTTTGATGCAACACAGCTGTGTGTTCTTGGCTCAAGTTCACTGAGAAAATTGCTAAGTTGTGAGAAAGAAGCTGTGAGAAAATACTTAAGCTAGAGCCACACAAGATAAGGGGAGTAAAAATGCAAACGGGGTGAGATTGTTGAGATAGTCATTACTAGCAACTCCAGAATACAGGATTAAAAATCCTGACATAAGCAAGAATAAAACCTAAAAGAGAAAACTGGAAATCTGAAGTTGGAAATATGGCAAAATCAGCCAATTCTACCAAGTGGTGGAGACCAACCCTTTCTGAGATAGCAGGCGACAGCCTGCTCAACAGAGATTCAGCTATTTCGAGACTGGTGACTATGACAATACTTATCCTAGTAACATTATTCCTAGCTATTTACTGCCTGCATTGCCAAATATAGTTGCTTCTTAGAAGTTGCATATATTCTGCTTACATAACATCTCTGCATGCATGAAATGTTGCCCTCCTGGAGAGGGAGTTTTTGTACCCATCCCTGCTGCTATGTGGAAATCACTGCTTGGTGCCTGAGGTTAGTAACATGCCCCAGTTACTAGTGTGCCAGTAAATTTATTGTCTTATACCACAGTACAAAATAAATGAATGTGAAATTATTCATAAATGAAAAATTAAAAAAATAAATACATGAATAAATGAAAAAATGAAAAAATCTGTCTCTGTGAAGTACAGTTAAATATTGGTTAGAGAGGCATGTAAACAAACAGACAAAAACCTATTAAAATTTTTCCTGAGAAGTGACTAAAAGTGAATTGAAAAAATTTCCATTTTCTAAATGAAAGTTATTATATATGTATGTATACTTGATTGCTGATGAAGCACCTAGGCCCCTAAATATTTCCACCCCAGGAAAATGGGTATGTGAGGCATCAGTCCCCTAACTCACACCTATATTTGCTTTCACAGGCAAATGAAATACCTTTCAAGGAGAGAGAGCGTGGCCATCTTCTGCTATATGATTCAACTATAGAATTATTGTATGCTTTCTACAATTATCTAATTCATATAACAAAGCACATTAGTTAGGAATTGAATGGATTTTTTACCTCAGACTTGTGCTTTGTACATGACAGTTATGAAATAAACTGACAGGAAGGAAATTCTTCAGCACAGTTTGCCATTGAAGACTCTCTGTACAGAAAGTGTTGAATATATTTGCAAAGGACAGGAAATTTTCTTCCTTTTAATTTTATAATTAACTTCAACTGATTTTGAAATTACCATCACCCGTAGTTACAGCCTGAAGTCTGCTACTACATCATCATGCATCACACGCTGCATGTTTCCTTGAAAAGCCTTTCTGGTGAGATTCAATCTTTCTCAATATTGACCACTTATACAACATAAAACTTCTTTTAGCGCACTAAAATATATGTTTAGCGTTTATGTCAGGCAAATTTGATCTGCTACATAAATGTATGATAAATCTGTTACTCCCTCCTTGTTACTGGCTTTTAACAGAGACTTTGCTACAAGTGAAGAGGTTAACAGAATTTTGCAGCTGATTCATATATTTTGAATTCAAAAACAGCCTTTTTCATTCTGCAGTTGGACTCTTTCAAAGTCTACTGGTAGAGTATATGAAAATTTGTTATTATGCACAAAGCACTCCAATAACTGGGTATAACATACATTAGATACCACTGCATTGATACCAAATTACATATTTGTATGGAAAACCTCTTATTTAAATGACAGACAAGCCAAAGAAAACAATAAACACGTTTGCTGAACTGTTTCTCATAATTCTTATTGAAGCCTTGCAAACAGCAATGACTAAAGTTTAGAACATATGAAGTACAAATTCAAACATCACCATATCTATTTTAGAAACTGTCTAAACCCCTCTATGAGAATTTCAAAAGTAGGATATATTTTGCACTTACTCTCTTTCCTTCTGTAGGATTTTCCTCATCTCAGCCAAATGCAAATTTAAGACTGATACATGTATTAAATCATTCTCTGTTGTCTTAGCTGTAGTGCCCAATCTGATTTTAGGTTCCTCCAAGTAGATGCTGGGAAGTCCATTGGGGAAGCAATTGGGAGGCTTTGGGGTGATTTTTTTATTTTCATTGCTTTGGTCTTTGTTTACATCCTGAGAAAACAAAAATATGACACCTGAGAAAAACATAAGTGAAGGAAAAAGTCTAACATAACTCCAGCAGGGCCTACCAAGGCTCTTCTAGACGTTTAAGGAACAGGAGAAAAAAAGGAAATAGGTAACATCTTAGACAGTTGGACTGTATATGGGTAGAAGGTGCAAAAATGTCAGTATATTTGAATAACTGTAATTTTGTGATTTCTTACAGCTTCTGTTATGACAAGCTTAATATCCAAAATATTTCAAATGTGTCTTTACTAAGGAAATATATTCAATTTCTCTTTTTTTGGCTATAACTCTGGTGAAGATAGAATCTTGGAACTAATAAAACTAGCAATGCAATTTATCCATACAAATAATGTATTGAGAAACTTTACATTAGGAACTCAAAATTTTATGTAAAGTATACTAAAGCAGGCTTATACAAGTTTTTCATAAGGAACAAAGTATATAGATATCTCTTTTGAAGATACTTGTTCTGCATACAAAACATAAGAAAAACTAATATCAAAATCGGAAAAAAATTAAAAGTAAAATACACATTTTTGAGGAAGACTGAATGTCTCTTGTGAACAAGTTTCCCTTAGAAATGTATTTGCTTTACTGTAGCTGAGGAATTTTGTTTAAAAGCTAATCTAATTTTAACAGTTTACTGACAATCCTCTTTCACATCACTCTGTTCTTTTGAGTTTTTAGCATAATACCCAAAATTTACATCAGAAAACACTAGAAACCACTGAAAAAATAAAAATATTTCCCATTCACATATAAAATTTCATTTTTTAAGTAGAAAAAAATTTATACTAAGGAAAAATAGTTAAAGTATATTTTGTGGTATTTCCTTCCAGTGGCAAATTTGTCTGAAAATATGAAAGGCATGCTTTTTTGGCAAAATTTATTCTTGCTACTAACATTACCATTTTTTTGATTTATTTTTTTCGGCTTTCACAGGAATATAATATCGTTAATATGTATTAGAGAGTAAAATGTCCAAACAGAATATATACAGGTCTAAGATCTTGGCAGTTTCTCTTGAATTGAAGTAAAAACTTTCCTACTTTCAACAATGCAGGGAAAAACCCATTTTCCTGGAATGTGTGAAAAAAATTACCTATATTTACAAACACTGCCATCTATTAGAAAACAAGTAAAGACTTTTGGTGGTGTCTATGAAGACTATACAGGGCATTCCAAGGCATAGAATTAAAGGTAGTTAAACATGAACAAATGCTTCGATTTTTGATGAATATAACTGGATCTTTTGTGTAAAGTTAGGAGCTGCTTAACCAATGCTGATACTTGATTTTTTAAATTCTATATCATGATTTAATAGCTCTCCTTATCAAATAAGAAGTCTTGCAAATTTGCAAAAGAACTGCCTACCTTTTCCCATGCTTTTGAAGTTCAGAGAGAATTAAATGATTTTAGACTTTAGGTTCTTTAGAAGCCAAGAACCTAATATGCTTTTTTGGAGGGGAGAAAGAATGTAAGTATACAAAACATGATTAATTCAGATAAGAGAGGTAACCTGTTACTGTAAAACATGAGAGATAATCAAAAAAATATGTAAATTATTGGATATGATAGTCTGCCTCTGTTCCTTAAATGTCTAGTCATAGTGCAAGGGTATGAATTGTTTTCTATATTTTCCCATATTAGAAATATTTAGATGGGGGTGTCAGGGGGCCAAAGGGTTTTGCTAGTGAATGGATCAGGCAACATTTTGGTCAAAATTATTGAAAAATCCCATTTCAACATACACATCCATACTTTGTCACTACTTCATGAACCACAAAAAATATTTCCCATTCTTTACCTTCTTTATGTCTTCTGCCCCAGGAATTTTGATGATTTTGGTTAGGTCTTTTGGAGGTTCTGGTTCCAGAAACATTAACAGGCTTTGGTCTTTTTTAATACTGCATATTTCTGAGCAACAGCATTCAGTTTTCCAAGCAGTTCCATTTTCTAAGTTTTCCTTCTCACTTACTAAATCCTGATTTATTTTTTTAAGCACACTAAGCTCTTTGATGACACTGTCTAGTCTGATTCTCAATTGTCTTGCTTCCTCTCGTGCTTTGTTTCTTTCTCCTCTCACTTTGCTCCATTTCTCTCTCCAATTAGCGGTGCAATCTGACCACCAGCGCATGGTCTTCTCCATTTGGGCAGCTCTGGCTTTGACTTCCTCCAGTTCCTGAATTTTTACTGCTTCAAAAATTTCCCAATCACTGCTGTAACTTGTATGCATATGTGCATAAAGAGGTGAATTTGGGTAGAAACTTTGAGATGGAAGATTTGAATGAAACAGGTGGTCACCTGGTTGCCAACATCTATCTAATTTACCAGGTTGTGTTGGTTGGGTCCCAAAAACCTCCATCTCTTCCATTTGTTTCTGAATGGAGTCTAAATTAATGTTTTGATTCATCATCTAATTTCACTCCTAAAAAAGACAAAGACAGACAATAATGTAGCTTTTAATTAATTATATTGTATGAATAACCTTCAACAGTTGGGGTTTTTCCTGCTGTAATAGTGAGTTGATGCTGTTCATGTTTTAGAAATGTGCTTTATCAACATGAAATAGCTATTAAAATATCTTTTATTTAATACTTTTTGAGTACAGCATAAACAGACACACCTATTATTTGGCTAGGATTTGCTTGCAAAGGAAGAGTCATTAAATAATCATAGTGCTCTCAAAAATGTTTGAGTCTAAAAAAAACAAACGAAAGCTTCCTTCCTTCAAGAAAAGATTGAATTGAATCAATATATATTTTAAATATCTAGTAAGAGGAAGTTATTTGTCTAGAACTACAATCACAAATTACTTGCCTTCTTTCCCAAACTGTGGAATTTCATACTACGCAAATCTTGCCTTAAAATTTGCATATCTAAGAAAAAAAATATTATCAAAACCTCTATGACCTTTGGATTTCCTTTTCTTCAAGACAAAAATCAAGTATTTTTTATAGGGGGCTTTATTTTGCTGACTGCATTTCGGAAGATTTCCAGGTAGTATATTCTTATATTATTCTTTAAAGTGTAGCAATATCCTTATTAATTTACTGTACAGCCTACCTCGCAGTGGTATGACTCAGCTAGTAAATCTTGTTGCATTCTTTTTCATTATTTATCTTTTGATTATTTATTACTTATTTGGCCCAGAAGAAAAGCAGTTTCTCAGAGATTGTTTCCCTACCCCAGTGCTGAGAAAATGCTGATGTGGACAGTCTGTAGAGACTAGCCACTTATATCTCCTTGGTTTTTTTTCATCTTGGTTATGTAAACCAGAGCAACCAAACAAACAAAATTCAGACAAATAAACAAACTTAAGAGTCTTACTAGTTCAATAGAAGACAAAGTTATTAAAAGTAAAAAAGAAATTGCTTCTGTATTGTGATATCCATTTGTAAAAAAAATGTTTGTTTGTTTCAGCAATTAGTGCTAACACCTGCATTTGAAATGCAGAAGGCTGAGGCCGCTAACAAAACACTGAAGAGTAGATAGTTTTGGCAATATGATTCAGTTATGTCTCATTTCAACTGAATAGAAGCTTTTGCATGTTTTGTTCCAATTTTCCAGCTGTTTTCAACTTTTCCATGATTTTCAGGACATTTATTTGCCATTTGTTAGAAGCTTATGGAGAGCTGTTGTAGTGGAGTACGGATATGAGAGGAGGAAAAGGACAATGAAGGACTCCCAGTTCCCTTCATTATCGCTGTCTGGTGTAGCACCATTGAGCCCCACAACAGCACCACACAGATGCAGCAGAGCTGCTGCCAAAGCTTCATCAGGCTTGAGCCTTTCTTGTTTCTTGACCTACTTCCAGCAATATAATTTAAATAAGCCTAATCCAAAATACAAAGATATTGCCACCCACAAACTTGTATGAGGCCCAGTAGAGCCAAAGTAACAAAACATGAAACGCTTGCAGTCAGTTGTTAATTTAATTTCTGGATTGTAGTAATTCCTTTGTTTCCTAAAGCTTTAATTTAAAAAAAAAAAACAATCAAACAAAACCGCAGTAAAATTTAGATACATAATAATACATAAAAAACATATTACATAATGTAATAAATGCATAATGAAATAGTTGAAACTTCTGGATTTTAAAAATGTACAATAAATTTTTTTAGATTTTTCTTTTTGTGCCTGCCCCAAACTAGTATATATATACAAAGGTATTTATTACACCTTTTATAATCAGTAGGTTTTTTTCAGTGGATTTTGCTAGCTTCTTTGCATGTTCATTAAAAGAAGGGAAAACTTGGGGAATGCACAGTTTATAAATCTTAAAAGATGGAGAAATACAATGGTAATATTTTTCTTGGACTTGAAAGACCTGAGAGTTATTTATGAATCAGAATAGCCTGTTGCTGATGTTTCATTACAGGTTTGAGGTGATTTTGTCATGTGACATTCAGTAATGTTTCCAAAGCTGGAGAAATGTTAAGATCAGAGATCACATGAGGCTAAAAAGGAAACATTGGTCACGAATTCTTGCTCCCCTCCATTGTGATGGCTCAAGTGTTCTGGAGGCTGGGACACTGCCAGTCAGATCAAACTTACACTGTAAAAACTGAAGTAGGCTTGCACAGAAGGCTGGTGGTCCCTTAGGCTTCTAATCATTTTATGGTAGGCTGAACTTTGCCAGCACTTTTCAGCATGGATAGATGATCCCAACTCTGTACCTAAAATTCAGAAAAATTAAGAATTAAAAGTAGTCACTCCTCCTCCAGAAAACAGAAGCGCTATCTCGCTCCAAGGTGGTAGAGAAAAGGTGTTTCTATTTGTATTGACTTCCCTATCTCCTTTTCAGAAAATCTAATCAAAACAGGTCTTTTAGATACTCTCTTTAAGATTGCAAGAGGTAGAATAAAGTATCATTTTTTTCATTAAAAGACACAGATCTCAACACAACCCATTTCAGTGGATGGTTGACTTGGGATAAAAAAAAACCAGCAGAAATGTTGCTGAATAAGTGAAATAGGTAACAGGAATTTTATTAAAAGTATGAATTATGAAGATTTGTGCTTGTATTTGTTTTTAAAGAAGTGGACTAAAATATTAGTTTGAAAGGAAGCAAAGGTTTAAAAATTAGAAAAATGTGTCGATTATTGTAAAAGTTCTGAAACTGTCAAAAATCTCACAGTTCCAGAGGGATGATTAGGATGGACTTATTTTATCTTATTTATAGTTCATATCAATCTACTCTTTCGTGTTCTCAAAAATACTGGACTGATGAAATTATGATAAAAACAAGTCCAACAGTCCAACTAAAGACTCTTTTAGTATTGACTCTGTTGATATTGAATCTTTGAATCTTTAATCATCTCTCTCTCTCTCTCTCTCTCTCTCTCTCTCTCTCTCTCTCTCTCTATATATATATATATATATATAAAATGGTATTTAAAAAATAATTCTTTTCTCTGGTACATGACCACCTCACAGAAAACATCATATATGTACATTGATCTCTGAAAACTCTCATCTATAAAATATTATATATAGATCTATATATAAAATATATATCTATCAAATATAAAAATATATCTATAATCTATAAAATATTATATATATTATATAATATATTATACATTATATATTTAATATTATTATATATATTATACATATTATATATGTTCCAGAAGGAACAAGAATAATTTTTAACTTGTCTGTTAAAGATAATTCAAAGAAGAAAGGTCCATGCTAATGTTAGACACAAATCTCTTAACATCAGAAATATCACAAGTCTAAAATTGACAAAACAATACTGTGTGGAGCAATTTTAAAGTCACTACTTGAGTTTGCAAGTTTGCTGCTAGCACAGCATATGAAGCTCAGTGTACATAATTACTAGATAAAAGATTATTAGATGGAAAGATAAAATAAACTTAGAGGATTGGTGAAAATGGAGGTTTTCTGATCAGTGAACCTTCTGATCATTGCACTTTTAACAGCTGAGTGATAAGAAGGAACACAACATCACTTTAAAGTTGTTTTTCTTAATGGAATTATTTAAAATGAGCATGAACAAAATATATGAAGGAACATTCATCGTGTCATGTGAGCGAGGTGTGATGATAGAGTGAGAACAGAGTGATGATAGTTCTCAGAGCAAAAAAAGACATTTGGTGAACACGGCAAAGAACATGGGTCTCTGAAAGATATTTAATTATAGTGCAACCTTTCCTATTTACTTAATGATCCTGAACACCAGTAAGAAAGAGAAGAGCTCTTGATTTATTTTTGCCACCTCTTGTTTTAGGTAAACAGCAGTATATTCACCCTTGGTGGCACCGTTAAACAAAATCACCAGGAGAGAAAAGAATTATTGCACCTTCCTCATGTTAATACCTGCTCACTGAACTGAGCTTTTTCAGTCAGTTCAGTAGCTAGGGCAGTGCTTGAGGATACAATTTCAACATCCTTTTTCTAACTGCATGACTTAATCTTTATTTACATGTCTCTTAATTATTAAGACCTCAGCCAAACTTTTTTAAGGTATTCTGTCTTTAGAGAAAATGTCTGCTTTAGATTAAACCAGTTAATTTTCTTTTGTCTAATCTATCAATTGAATAGGACAAAATGAATCATAGAACTCAACATGTTCTTTTGTAAGTGCTACTGGAAAGCCAGAATTTTCCATGGTGTTGCTGCAGCTCACCCATCAACAGACCCTGACAGAGAGAGAAGGCTTTAAGGAAATGGGTGGAGGTGATGTGGTCATTATGAGAAGAACATAGGAAGTGATTTAACTTACTCCCTGAAAACTTGTCTGTTTACTAAGGGCCGCTAACTACCAAGTGATTAACTCAAGAAAAGGAGATCAAATTTTGTGTGTCTGTTCCTGTTGCAAAGTTGGTTTTAATTAATAACTCCTAGGGGTCCCACCCAGTGGCTAGATGAAAAAATATTGCCGAGTAAATGACAGAAATGTATGGTGAAAAAAACATCCCACTGGTCAGTGTGGTGTGGAGACATTCACTCCTCAAGAGAGGAGAAAGAATGAGCACTGGCATTGACAGCTTGGTAGCTAGTTTGTTCATGGAAAAAATACAATTTAGAGAACTTGTAAATAAGACAGCTTGCAAATTAGGGAAATGATGAATTAGTGAGCTCATGTGTTGGACTACTCTGTACAAAAATGATTCCACCATTGTTTGACGCCTTGATGTTTTGGTGGTGTTGTTGGACACAGAGGACTTTTTTTAAAAAGGTTTATTTTTTTTAAATGAGCTCAAAAGCTCATAAAATAAAGTTCAATTTACAAAGTACACTGTGCTGTAAATTTGAAAGATCCAAACAGACCATGACATAATATACAGATTGTCCTACTTCATGAAAAATAAAAGATAGTGCATTCAGGACTTTTTAATGCACATCCCAAGATGATTCTGTTTATTTTTTTCCCCACAGCTATAA